TGCTGAACCAAAAAAAACCAGAAAGAGCAATGATGTGGGAGCTACACGTGCTGAAGGCTTTCGATCTTCCCTGAGCAGATTTGATATGAAGAATGCTAGTAAGGATGAAGATGTAAGAAACTAGGATGGTGAAACTGGGTACTGTGATATTAATACCCACAACAATGAGAACTACCACCTCACTGACATAAGTGCTAGTGCAAGAGACTTGGAGGAGTGGGAGGATGTCACACAAGTAATGGTTGATATTAACATTGCAGAAGGTTCGTCTAAGCATGCACCCTGTGTGGGCAGAGGCTCCAGTAAACCCCATCACATACTCAGCCAAAGATAGCACCAAACAGACCTTATGCAACATGGTGACCTTATACAGCAATGGAGTACAGATGGCCACATAGGGATCACAGGCCATTGAGGTCAACATATAGCACTCAGAGATGACAAAAAAGAGAAAGAAAAACAGCTGAGTCATGCGCCCAACATAGGAGATGATATTCTTCCTGAATACAAAGTTCATCAGCATCTGGGGGGTGAAAACAGAGGAGTATCAGAGATCAATGAAGGATAAGTTGAAGACTAAACAGTACACGGGGGTGTGGAGGTGAGAATTTAGACCAATAAGAATGATCAAGCCCAGGTTGCCCACCATGGTGACAATGTAGATCATTAGAAACAGGTAAAAGAGGGGCTGCTGGAGCTCTGGATGGTCTGTTAATCCAGCAAGTATAAATTCAGTCACTAAGGAGTCATTTCTAGCCAGCATTCTCAACTTTGGAAATCTGTGAGAATAGAAGAAAACTACATTAATAGGGAACCCAGCTCTGTCCTTACTGACTCTCTTTTATATGAGCTTTATAAGAAAGAGACTCAGACTGGCAGAAATCACGTCTTCCTTTGCTTCATAGGGTCTGTAAGTACTGCAACACACACCCCTCTACGTTTAAATCACTGTCTTTTGTTGCATGAGCTGCATGGGACAAACAACAGCTTTATCTTTACTAGAAGACAGAGGGATGGAGTAGCTGAGGAACAAGCCTACCTGTTGACTGGCTTTGGTGGTGGGGTTGTATCCCCATCTCTCCATCATATTCACCTGACCAGTCACTTTTTAGTTCCTACTCATGTTTCCATCACTCTACGAGTTATCTCAGTTCCCCTGTGATGACCTTCAAGAAAGAGAGAATTCCCACAGGGCAGAGACCATAACCATATTCTGCTTCCTAGAAGGGAGTTGCTAAGAGTCTCTCGGATTTTCAGGTACTTTACTACAAGATTCCATGAAGTCAATAATTGATAACAGGTATGGAGGAGAGCCCTGGTGGCCTAAACTTTATATTTAACCAGGTCCTGCATTGTTTCCACACATTCTCCTCCTCTGTTCCATCCTAGCTGAACATAGAATGAATAAAGGAAGGTGGATGTGCTTTCCCAGGTTTTGTAGGATGGCATGAAAGCGAAATAAATTAATTTGGGTGCTGATTAAATTAGCTGTTGTTAGTGAATATATATCAAGCTGTATACTTATTATGACATGTAAACTTGTACAGTACATATAATATATTTTGACAAAAAAAATTTTTTTCCACACACACTATTTTATTTTTACAAGAGATAAATAAACTGACACCAAGTATTGTAAATGGATGACCACAACAAAAACAACAACGATTGCAATTACCAAACACGAAACACACTCATACTATGTCATAATATTGACATTCAGTCCAGTGATCCTCCACTGTAACAGCTCCTTTACTTTGCAGTGAAAATTGATTTGTATATTTTTTGCCTCTGAGTCCTTGTGGGATTTTTTTTTATTCAGACAGAAAGTCACAAAAATTGTAGTCATCCTCAGCAGTTTACTCAGTCCCATGTAATTAATTTTTTTTTATATCGATCTTTTGTTAGCACTTTTATGAATTCATCAGTTTTCCATTAGAGTTCTAAAACTGCTTATTCAGTTCAGCAGCACAGTCAGTTACCAAAAACCTGTACTTGTCAGAGTCTTTTCCATGAATTCCTTGAAGATGAAACCCTTTTATAGGAACATTTTTGCGAAAGCATCAGAGTACACCCAGAACTGTTTGTAAATGACAAAAGACTTAAAAATGACCACGGTTAAAGATTTGATGAAAGTTCATAATAATGCAATTGACAAGGAAATTTAGTTATTTCTGAGATATACATTTTAAAGTGATAACTAGAATTATGACTTATAACATTATACCAGAACATATAAGATTTTTAGAAATTTCATGTAAGTTCTGAAACATATTAACATATTTCCATACAAATAACTCTGGCAACCATAGACACTACAGAATTAAACATAGCCAAGGCGGGCGCCGAGCGGCGGGGGCAGCGGGCGGGCGCGGCGACCAGGGCCTGGGCGGGGATCCGGGTAGCGACCGAGGCGGCGGCAGCGCCCCGGGCCCGCCGCCCCCTCCACTCAGGCGGGGGGAGTCGCTGCATGGGGCCAGGGGGTCGGCCGTGCTGCGCTAAGCGGTGGCGGCGGCGGACCCCCCCAGGCGGGCTGGGGCTGAGCCCGGGGCCGGGGCGGGGGCTCCGGGGGGACCATGCCCGGAGGCCGGCCGGGCGCAGCATGGCTCACGGGGCCGGCGCGCTGATGCTCAAGTGCGTGGTAGTCGGCGACGGGGCGGTGGGCAAGACGTGCCTACTCATGAACTATGCCAACGACGCCTTCCCGGAGGAGTACGTGCCCACCGTCTTCGACCACTACGCAGTCAGCGTCACCGTAGGGTGCAAGCAGTACCTCCTGGGACTCTGTGACACAGCCGGACAGGAAGGCTGTGATCGGCTGAGGCCTTTATCTTATCCAATGACTGATGTCTTCCTTATATGCTTCTCTGTGGTAAATCCAGCCTCATTTCAAAATGTGAAAGAGGAGTGGGTACCAGAACTTAAGGAATACACACCAAATGTACCCTTTTTATTAATAGGAACTCAGATTGATCTCCGAGATGACCCCAAAACTTTAGCAAGACTGAATGATATGAAGGAAAAACCTATATGTGTGGAACAAGGACAGAAACTAGCAAAAGAGATAGGTGCGTGCTGCTATGTAGAATGTTCAGCTTTAACCCAGAAGGGATTGAAGACTGATTTTGATGAGGCTATCATAGCCATTTTAACTCCAAAGAAACACACAGTAAAAAAAAGAATAGGACCAAGATGTATAAACTGTTGTTTAATTACGTGAGAAATGTCTTCAGTGGCCAAGTAAACTGTCCATTTCTCTCAGAAAGCATATGAAATGCTAAAGCTATACCCAGACCTCTTAAAAATAATGAAGCAGTTTAATACTTGAAAGGAAAAAAAAAAAACCCTGTCCTCAGAATTCTATAAAGTTGATTAAGAATGTTTCTTAAAGGTCCAAGAAGCAACAAACAGCATCTGAAGCCACAATCTATTATAAATACTTTATTTCAACTAGAAGGTGCAATCTCTCAGGGGTTTCATAGTTTAAAAAGCTACAATCACATCATGTTGTAACTATATAAAAAACAGTGCTGTTAAGTGGAACTGCCTGGCTTAGACCATGTACATGTCTGCACAATCTTTATGGAATCTGCACAAAGAAATATCTTCTCCCTTTGCTCCAATTAATTGTTCTTGTATGTAAGTTTCTTTCTATTCCAGTATATCCAGAGTGGTGAAGTAACAAGGCCAGCCACATAGCCAAAGGTTGCTCCAAGCGTGCAGGAGATGGGCCATTCCTGAGGAGACAATGTATGAGATCAAAAAGAACAAATGTTTTATTATTACTGGAGCACAAGTGTAACCTAAATATTTCTATATTAAAGCTTAATGTGCTTTCTTAAAGAATGCCAAAAGTGTAATAAGGTCATATCTGCATTTATCATGAACACTAAAAATGTACACATTTTAGTTAATGTGCATTCAACTGTAAAAAGGTTTCTAGCAATTGTAGATTTAGTTTGATGCTCCCCAAACTGCATGAGTTACATGCTGAAATTACAAATTAAAACTTTGGGTCAGACTTTGCCATAAAAAAAAAACATAGCCAAAATCCTAGCCAGGATACCAAAAATTCTCACCCTAATAGCCATTAACTAAGTGGTTAGTACCTGAGACAGCACATTATCTTTCAACAAAATATTACAAGACAAAGAAACAGTCTTAAGAGGTAATGCAAGCCACAGAACCAGACTCAGATAAGAATGAGATGTAGAAGTTACTGAACAGGAGATAAAATGTCTATAATGAACATGTTAAGGACTCTAAGGGAAAAATAGACAACGTGTAAGAATCGATGGGTAAACAGAGAGATGGAAACTCTTAACAAAAACTATCAAAAGAAAATGCTAGAAATAAAAGGCACAGTAACATAAATGAAGCATTCCTTCTATGTGCTCATCAAAACCCAACACAGTTTAGAAAAATAACCAGTGGCTTGGAGGTCAGTCAATTGAAACTTCCCAAAATCAAATCCAAAGAGAAAAAGAGTGAAAAACAGAACATTCAAAAACTCTGAAACAACTTCAAAAGTGAAAAAATACGCATAATTGGAATATCAGAAGGTGAGAGTGAAGGGCTGATCCTCCTCTTCCTTACATTTTCTTGAGAAGTGATTTATATAACTAAGTTAATTTACACTTTTAAATCATTTACATTTCTTTTTTGATTTCTTACTGTTATCTCCATAGCTTTATATGTTGTTTGCCCTTATGAGGATTTGGCATCAATAACTAACACAGATTTCATTCAGGAGAACACCCTTTTACGCAGTCTTACTCAGTGCAACTTGGACATCTTTGTTCCTCATACTGTAAATGAAAAGATTCATCATTGGCCCCACAGTGGTGTAAAAAACTGTGGATACTTTATCTCGATTCAGAGACACAGCAGGAAAAGGCTTCAGTTACATGAATGCTGATGATCCAAAGAAAAGAGAAACCAGAATTATGTTAGAGCTGCAGGTACTGAAGGCTTTGGACCCGCCCGCTGTAGAACAGATGCAGAAGATGTTGGAGAGGATCAAGGTATAATAAATGGAGTTGGTGAGACTGGGCACTATGACATTGACACCCACCACAACGAAAACCACCAGCTCATTGATGTAGGTGCTTGCACAGGAGAGCTGGAGAAGAGGTGGAATGTCACACATGTAATGATCGATGATGTTACCGTCACAGAAGGAGAGTCTCAGCATGCACCCGGTGTGGGCCATGGTACCCACAAGCCCCATCGCGTATGCACCCACCATCTGCGTGAGGCAGACCTGATGGGACACGGAGACCTTGTAAAGCAGGGGCTTACAGAAAGCCACATATCAATCATAGGCCATTGATGTCAAAATACAACACTTTTCAATAACAAAGAAGGAGAAGAAACAAAGCTGAACCATGCACTCTGCTTAAGAGATGACGTTTTGGTTTACAAAACTCATCAGTATTTTAGGGGTAATGACAGAGGAGTAGCAGAGATCAATGAAGGAAAAGTTGAAGAGAAAGTAGTACATGGGACTGTGCAGGTGAGGGTTCAGACCAATCAGAATAATCAAGCCAATGTTCCCCACCATGGTGACCAGATATATTCCTAGGAAAATGAAAAAGAAAGGCAGCTGGAGTTCTGGCTGTTGTGTTAAACCCAGCAGGATAAACTCAGTCACTGAAGAGTCGTTCCCTGGGGCCATTCTTCCCTAGGACATATCTGTGGGAACAGGACAAAGGGTAACATTAAAATGAGTACCCAGCTCTCTCCACCCAATCCCACTATATTGAGGTTGAGACCCAGAATAGGAGAATGAACCCAAGCCAACCCTCTGTGTGCCTTTGTTTTCTCCTTTGTGTAAAGGCTGAGGGACTTTTAAAAGATAATATATATCAAAAACACTAATGGGCAAGTTCTACAGGGATAAGATTCAGTAACCCTGTGACCACTCATGACTACAGCATCTCTGCTCCACTTCTGCTTTGATAGCTTACCAGGCCCACCTAATGATCAATGATTGTCTCAGCAGAGAGAAGGTGTGTCATTTCAGGGAGTCCTTGGCTTTCTGAGATGAGGTTTGGAAGAAAAACATGACAGATAAAATTCAACACTCACCCTTTTACGTGGGGACCTCAATCCTGCTGGATTAACTGAGCTCAGAGAAATAAAGTAACTTCCATCCTCCCAGACTGTCAGACTTCCACAAGCTCTCAGAAAGGTCCCTGCTGAATGCAACATAGACTCAGATCAAAGTTGCTAAGCTCAGAGAAAAGAATATAATTTCCATCCTCCCTGAATGTCACAAAGAGCACTTCCACAGACTCTCAGAAAGGTCTCAATGTCTCTCCCTGACTGCCTAGACTCAGATCAAAAGGCAGATTTGGGTCAATACGGGAAGTTTTCAAATGCCAAAATCAAGGTCAGCTCACTATGAGAGGCCATTAGGAACCTTTCGAGATTTTTACTTCTTTTTTGATACAGGATTGAAATAATCTAAGTGCAAGCTTAGAAAGAGTAATATGGCAATGGCTGGCAGAATGGACTGGCATAAGAGAGACTGGAGGCAAGGTGACTCACAAGAGGCAATTACAATAGTCAATGAATGATAAAAATGCCCTAAATTAACAGTGCTACTGTGAGCAGTTCCAAGAAACAAACACATGCAAGAGACACTGAAAGGAAAGAGTCATCAGAACTTCTCACAAAGGGGATAGAAGTAGACCCAAAAAAATCCCAAAGATATTAGCCTAGGTGCTTGGTTAAATTATGGTGTTAACTACAAACAGAGAGAATTCAGAAAGAATGGAAATATTCATAAACAATAGGCATTCAGCTTTGAACATAGTGATCTTGAGTTGCCAGCTGGACAAGCAAGTAGAAGTATACAACCTAAATAAGGCTAAATAATGCTCAAGAGGAAGACCAGAATCTGAGAAAAAGATTTGGGGACCATTTCCACAGAGGTTAAAGCCATGGAATCAGGTGAACTCAATGAGAAAGAATAAAAAGAAAAAGAGCAGAGGCAAGAAATACATGTGGGAAATCCCTCATATGGGTTTTACACGTAGGATAGTTGAAAACCTAATCATTACAAAAATGAGTCCCAATTATTATCATCAGACCCTTAGAAATTACAAGGAGACTAAAAATTCCTTAGGGCAAACTTGAAATGTGTCTCACAAGACAGACATTCTTGGGCTTAGCCTTGATGAGGACCTTAGAGATTCATTATTTTATTTCCTGGAAATGGTAAGAACTCTTATTTAGGTGATGCAAGAACCAGAAACACTCCCTTTAAGTTTATATTACATCAAATCACATTACAAGAAAAGTTTATAGCAAGGTAATAAATTATAATTAAAGGTCATTCTTTCACTTTTAACACACCCAGTGTAAATACAGGCAGAGAATGAGTGTAGAGATACTCTGAGCTTATTCTTACATTGCAAAACTAACCCATTACCCTCCTTTCTTCTACCTACATGATGGTCACAGTAGCCTGATTCTTTTCACTGAGATATACCACGGTATCTTTTGTTAATTCCTGGCTCCTTTTTAAGTAACTCAAGCCCAATATATTCTAATTTATCAATGTCAGTGGTAATTTTAGTTTTATACTATATTATATTATCATAAAGATGCAAAAAATGTAAACCTTTTTTTAACTAAATAGAATTTTAATTTGCAGTATTATGTCACACTGAGCTAAGCTGCTGCAAGCATCTGGAATCACTGGCTAATATATTTTTAAATGTAAATATATAATGGAAAGAAATCTGCAAGTGTCAGGAAGAAAATGGGAAGGCAAAATCTAATCCAGCAGATCTTGGGTGGGGTCCTAGATTCTGGTCCTGATTCTGTTTTTTTGTTTGTTTGCTTGTTTGTTTTGTTTTTTAAATAAAAGTCAGTAGAAGTGAAGTGATCCATGCAAGATTTGACTGTTAGTGACAGAACCTGTGGTAAACCCAGGTCTTCTGACTGCAAGTTCAATGGATAAACAGCATGGTAGAGCTGAAGGAAGAAGCCTCTACTCTTTTTTTTAAAAATTAATTAATTAATTTTTATTTTTGGCTGTGTTGGGTCTTCGTTTCTGTGCGAGGGCTTTCTCTAGTTGCAGCAAGCAGGGGCCACTCTTCATCGCGGTGCGCGGGCCTCTCACTATCGCGGCCTCTCTTGTTGCAGGGCTCAGGCTCCAGATGCGCAGGCTCAGTAGTTGTGGCTCACGGGCCTAGTTGCTCCGCGGCATGTGGGATCGTCCCAGACCAGGGCTCGAATCCGTGTCCCCTGCATTGGCAGGCAGATTCTCAACCACTGCGCCACCAGGGAAGCCCTGTTTGTTTGTTTTTGAAAGGTGTAAATTCTGTGTCTAAATTCATGTTTTTGCAAATGGGCGTCTGATTTTTCTAGCATCATTTGTGAAGAAGACTACCATTATTCCATTGATTGCCTTTGCTCTTTTGTCAAAGATCAGTTGACTATATTTTGTAGGTCAACGTCAGCTTCTCTCTTCTGATCCATTGTCTTTTCTTTCATCACTACCACACTGACTTGATTACTGTAGTTTTATAGTGAGTCCTGAAGTTGGACAGTATCTGTCCTACAACTTTGTTCTCCTTCAGTATTGTATTTGATATTTGGGGTCTTTTCCCTTTCCATATAAACTTTAGAATCAGTTTGTTGATATCCACAAAAACTTGCTGGGATTTTGATTGGGATCACATTGACGATACAGATGAAGTTAAGAAGAATTGACATCTTAACATAACTGAGTCTTCTAATCCACAAACATGGAGTATCTTTCCATTTATTTAGATTTTTTATTACTTTTATTAGAGTTTTGTAGTTTTCCACATATAGATCCTTTATATATTTTGTTAGACTTATA